TAGTTACCAAATCCAGCATTTCTTCGACTGTTTTTGAGGTTTTCTCATAACTGTACAAATGATTTGAAAGGTTTTCAAATTTTGACCATTTATTACATAATAGATCTTTTCCCAAAAGCCATTCAAACATACTTGTTATACTTTCACGGAAAACTTACATTCAAACATACCTTTAGAAAAAACTGAAACAGTTAAATCATGCTCGACTTTAAATGACACAGTGACTGTTGGACAATCTTCCATCTCAATACGCAAAAGTATATAATCATATGCTTTCATTATTGAACATGTATTTGGTGATTTATTGCTGTAAAGTTTCTAAAATTCTGAAAAGGAGGCAATGTTGTCTGCAGCACAGAGTTTTTTTTTAAATTATTTTCACGCCGTTCATTTATTTCACTTGTCCTGTCTTCTGGTGTCTTTCGCTTTTGTGGTAAAGGATAAGATAAATATTTAGGTTGACCGTAAAAAATAGTCGGATATGTATCTTTTGATAAAACTGGCACTTTTCTTTGAACTGTTGATACTGTCCCATCAGGTCGTGTTGCTCTATCGTCTCTTATGATGAAACGTTCATTAAAATGCAAAATGCATACACAAGCACATGATCCCGGTACAAAGTCTTTCCTATTAATTTTACTAATCGATGTTTTACACAGCATTTCATCTTTGGGGAACTTAACAGTTGCAATATGATATTCGTTTGGAAAGTAATTTGACTTGCATCTCGGAACGCTACATTTTCGCGGCATCTGTAAAAATTCAATTAACACTGTATGATGCACCTTAATTAAATAATAACTAAAGGGAAAGGAATTACAGTGAATTATTTAATGCTATATAATTAATATACTGTAGAATATAATTATTAATACACTTCTATTTAAGCTTAGCGACTGTACAAAATATATGTACAAACTCAAGCTCATTATTTTTTAACTTTCAAGAATTTTTTTAAATACTATTATTCTTGTCTAATTTAGAAGAAGGAATTATTCCAATAAAGCATTACGAGATTCGGGTTTGATGCATAGTTTGAAAATGAAAGATACAACAGAAATTTACTAGATTGTTATAATATTTAACATGAGTGTTATGGCGTATGTAATAAATATGTATTAGAACATGAATAAAAATTGGGGGGGGGATCTCTTTAGCTTTCATTTATCATAAAAGTGTTTATTTTGGATCATTAACTAACTTCACTTATTCAGAAGTAAAACGATTGCTCTTTGTACAAAAATTCGTAAGTGAACTTATTCATTTTTTTGACAAGTGCAAATAAAAGTTACTACATTCTGTACCTTCAGATCCTTGAATAGGATTTATATCTCACTGTAAATTAATTAACTCCATTAATATATATTTTCTGGTACACTATTCACGCTCGTTTTAATGAAAAGGAAAACAATATAAACTCGGATTTCAAGTAAATAAAATCTTGAAACCTTTGCAGCACTTTATTTACAACTATATAATCGAAATTTCTTCGTGAGTCGCATAAAGTTGCTTCGCAGGTCTCCAATGTGAGATTACTGGTCTATAACAGATAAGATAGATACCTACCTCGTTTTGAATACAAAATATACTTCTGAAAACTCGAGATAAATGTGCCAAAAATCAAATTATTTCGAAAGTTTGCCACACAATGAAAACAGTACCACATTGAAGGAGAATGAACATTTGTGTGCCCCGGATATGGCTAAAGTGGAAGTTCTAAAATGTGTTGATTTGTATAAGAAACGTGCTTGAGCAGAATTAACCTCTGTATCGAAAATTTATAAGGAGTAATTTCCAAAGCTAGGGGCTCCGGATTAGATTTCATAAGAGAAATGCCGGAATACAGATCTTTGAAGTCATCTCTCTACCGAGAAAAACACAAAAGTCTTAGGATTTTTGACTATGTCGCAAACTAGCGAAAGTCTGATATTGCCGAGTATCTGTAAAGAAAATTTCCTTATTAGCGACCAGAGAGAGAGGGAAAAATATTGTTATCTGCCACTAATTACACTCTCTAGGAAAAAGCAAATATTGCTTTGGGACGGAGCTTTCAAATCTTGTTGCCCTTAGGTTGAAAAATTATATAATATTTATACTGATTGTGGAAGCACCGCTGATGAAACAGCTATGCATTCTTCTGTATATGATCCTCTGCCTGATGAAACTTAAAAAATTATTTGCTTATATGTTCATCGTTTTAAATGGGCTTGCTAGATTTTCTGGTTTGACAAGGATTGTCCCAGTTTGAAGGTATGGTCCTGGACAGTTTGTGATTTTGTCCCGTTATATATTAAAAAAAGCAAATATACACACATTCAAAACACATTTTTAATGCCTTCCTGTACTATTGTACTGTATGCCATTGTTTTTAGCTGAATTATGGAAAGCGTAATTATTTGTTTTCTGTGTCTATAAAGGAGAGTTCCCATTTAATGAGTATTTCTTTAAATGCCATGTTATATTTATTGCTACTTATATGCTCATGTTTTCAGCGTACACGTCTTCAACCTTATTGTTGGTGTTTTCTATTTCATTATTTATATATGCTTTTTTATTTGAGAAATGCCCTGAAAATCTGCATCTCATTCCACATACTGATGTATGTTGACTCAGTAAAGAAAAAGTTTTTTTTCAAGATTCGTAAATTTAAGAAATAAAAATATATATGAGTACGAAAAATCAAAATTTTATTGAACTAATCGATTTTTGCTGGCTGGTCGATTTAGGTTTTTCTATACAAATAATTGAGAAATTGAGTTATTTAAACCTGGAGCAGCAGAGAAAAGACAAGCATATAGCTTTAATAATAATGGTCTGTTAGGTGATTTAATGCTAAATTGGATTTGTAGATATCACGTCTGCAAATAAAGTCACTTGTGCATTTTCCAAATATGAAAAATGATAAGCGAAGCTGAAATTGACGTGTCCTCATCATCAATCATCAACTTTCGATTACTTCCAGACCAGCTGTAAAAACGATTTCAACGGTTTAATATTATCATCATACAAGCCAGTTTCCCTTAGAAAGTCCTCCACGAAGGCATCCCTTCCCTTAGACAGATAGCCCTTGAGGCTTTGCCGTAATTGAATAACTTAACCTGTTCAAGTAAGAATGGAAGAACTGGAGCTAAAAATCTGGATCGTCAAAATGACGTTATCTTAAAATCCAATGTATCAGATGACAACTTCTGGAATGTAGTTGCCAGAAACAAATTTCTTTTTTTTTTAAAAGACTATTGTTACGAATTTTGTGCTTAGACAGCTGTTTTAGTAGAATTATGATTAAAATTGTTGTATTCTCCGTGCAACGCAGCGCGAGACAAATTTTGAGAGAAAGCTATGTCGGAAAAGGAAAAATACAGGAGCACGTGCATTTAACATTGAGTAAATGGATATCTCAGTAATTTATATTTAAATTGAATAAATGTAATTGACCACTATGTTAGCAGTAACCGTAATTCCCTCCTGTTTTTACTTTCTAGTAATTTCGAGAAGCAAAAATTGCTAGAAATATCTCGCGCGACCGGTCGAAAGCTATAAAAGCCAGAGAAAGACGGTAGGTTCCTTCATAATGGCACCAGAAGATTCATTGCAAGAAGAGGTAGAGTAAGCATCATATATAAAGACAATGGTACCAACTTTGTAGGAACAAATAATGCATTAAACGAACTTGATTGGAAAAAAAATAATGAAGTTCTCAACAATTGAGAAGATTAAATGGAAGTTTAATTCTCCAACCGCTGCTTGGTAGCATCTCAGTTCTTTAGCAGTTTGAAGTATAACTTCTCTTAATTACTGCGGAATATTGCGAATACTTGTACGAATACCTCTGAAGAAAATTCCAGAGTTCTGATATATTTGATTCGATAAGAAAAAAATTTATTAACCTATTATCGGACTTGAATATTCAATCTATTACGAACGCGTACGCACTCAACAATATCATACAAGATAAAGCCGTTTTTTGAGTTCCACAAATACTTGTGTGAATCATTATTTTCAAGAATGAATGTCACAAAATTAAAATACAAATTTTACTTATAGATGAACATTGTTTAAGAGTAGGAATATCATATTTCCCTAATTATGAAACAGTGGACAAAGAAATGCAATTTCAAATATCGCATTGACTTTAGGTATTACATTTGTTACAAAGAAATTTCATACCAAAGAACTGTAAATCTGAGAAATTGTAATCTTTTGTCTGTATTATTAAGTAATTATTTATTTTACATAAGAATGCAATAAATAATTTTTCAATCTTAAAAAATTATATTTTTGGAATAATTTTTATTTTTGTATAATATGTGTATTATTAACTATGTTAACCTATAAATTTACCTAAAAATGTACCCACAGCTCCACTGATATTCTAGAATGTGCTCAAAGGTACACAAATGTGGGGGATCCTGATGTATGCTATGAAAATAATGTGTAATCTGGCTATAAACACCAGAAATTGAATCGATTAAAAACGTGTAAATCATAGTATAAGTCCGAATATTCTTTTGTCTAAATTATTCGACTGAGGCAGTTTTTTCCTGTCTAATTTCACCTGCGTTAAATTCAAGTGATGGTTTAATAGAAACTGTATATTGAGTAAATTTTTTTTCAGTTAAATAACACTAGTAAAATTAATTTATTTAGTCAAGATCAACTATAATATTTTTTTCCTGTACCGAAAAAGCTGTTTAATTAAGAAATGTGTAATTAAGAAAATGATTTTATTTAATAATTACATCGAATGTTTTAGATAATTATTCACTTATTGAAAGTGTTCATTTAACACAGACTGATCAATAAATCAACTGTTTTTAGTAGAGTAATAAAGGAATAAGACTAAAAGGCTCTTTGATAACTAACCCAATAGACGGATCTCGACGGAAAGTTTTGATGTCGCCAGATGGCGCTGCTTTTCAGAAAAGATCCGATATTCAATAGCGGATGCCAAATTGGAGAAGTAAATTTGCTTCTCACACATATGACTACTGAGTGTTAGTTCGGTAGGTGGTGTGATGTTCTTTCTTTGATGAGACATGCAGGCCTCATAAATGTGAATCGAATGGCCTGTTACTGTTTAAATGGGATGTTTGAAGTCAACGGTAGCAGATTTGACATCAAATTGAGATGCCGAATAACAACAGTACGATAAAATCGGATCACTCCAAAACTCAACAATTATCGGTGAGTTGCCATTTAAAAAAATCGGAAAGTTTTACTTGTTTTCATTCATATTTAATGTAATTTGAGATCTCTTGTGTATTAGAATATTTTTCAACCGAATTTAGCCTCTGATTTTTTGAATCTGAAATGGAATATGTTACCTTTACAATATCAACATGTATCATGTTTATGTCTCGTTTGTTTTTGACGCAATGCATTCAGCTGCATGTTCCTTTCTAATTATAAAATATTTTATGGTTTATCTGAGCTATTATGAATGCATGGAATTTCGAAAAGCTGTTAATCATTTTAAGTTTTTACATGGCAATGACTAGCATATAAAGCTACCAAATTTAAAGCTTGTAAAATTAATATTTTCAAAAATTGTTGTTTATGTATGATTATATCGAATATTAGTACTCAAGTCCAACAATTGTGCAAAAATATTTAGTATAAAAAAGAAGAGAGGCTAATCTCAAAGCAAATTTTTTCATCTGCTTATATTAAAAAATTGAAAATTAAAGCCCTGATAATCAAATCAAATCTTACGGCATCTTTGTATAGCTTAAAGGAATTTAAATTTTGACATTTTCCTTTAATGTTATTAATTTTCAAATGTTTAAGTATTCTACAGCTTGTTTAAATTCTGATTTCAGTTTCTGAGTGTTATAAAATTTCTGATATTTGTTTCATTTAGAAGGATGATTTTAGGTTTAATATCACGTGCTAATCAGATAAGAAAGCGACGAAATATGATTTTTTTATTCCGTTTAAAATGATTTTCTTAAACATACTAGTGAAATTTGATTTGTAAATATCTGCCCCATTATTATCCTAAACAAAAAAGAAAAACATACATGGTTAATGTTTAAAAGGTTATAGGAAGTCTGAATTAAATTTCGATGTGTAAATTGCTACAAGACCAAAGGTGTCAGACTGCCATTTAGAGGTAGATTACTGAAAGGTTAAAAAGTTAGGCATGTAAGTATTATGAGAAAAATATAAAGTGTATAAAAAGTATTTTTCAATATTAGGACTTCTCCGTAACTCTTTGAGATAGTATCACATCATTAAGAATGATAATGAATGCACTTTAACAAAGAGATGACCAATTCTCTTGCATTATTTACAAATAGTCACATCTGTAAAGAATTAATTTCATATTTATAAATAATTTATTGTTACACATTTTAGCCATTTTTAAAATTCTTCAGTAGTTAGTAGGCTATTGTGATCTATGTTTAAAATACAACATATTAATTAACCTGTATATTTTGTAAAAGTAGTGTATAATTCATATTTTTCTTTCATCGGATTATTGCTATACTTACGGAAATCCATATAAATGATATGGATTATAATCGATGAAACATTTAAAATAACTTAAGTTTTTAGTTTTAGAAGAAAAATATGTGTATGCGATGGCGTATGTTAAATATGTAGCCCGAAGTAATTTATGTTTAAAATTAGTTGAGTTATTAGTTATTGGCTGCGCAATGAGGAGAATTTCATTCTTGCCTAGCAGGATAAGAAATAAATTCTCCCTCAATTTAGTTGTAACGATAACTCTCATGAAATGTACATAGCTAGGTTATTTTTAACTTGTTGGTGTTGCTTTTTGGGTTATTTTTGTCATTTTTTTATGTGCAGATTAATTTTTGTTTTCAAATTTTAATGCAGTTTCACAACGCGCTCTCTTTATTAGAAAACTGATTTAACTAAATGGAAAAAGAATTAGGTATTCAGTTAGATAACTGCTTTAATTTTATTCTTTAAGATATCTTACCCAGTCGGTTTCGTTTTCCATAATATGTTCTTATAACTAGGGATACACAGTTTTCAAAATAGATGCGAATAAATTCGAGATTTGTCAGTATTTATTATTAAATTCGAAGTAATGCTTATGAACATGAACTATTTTGAATTTCGTGAAAAACAAGTGCTTAATGTAATTTGTTTAACAGTTGCCTTCTAGCCATTTGCTACATATTAGTTCTAATTCTCTGGCTCTTTTTTTAGCGTACTTACCGTCCAATCCCTCCCTCCTGTATATATCTTACTCACTCAACCTACGCCTGTAGTCTAACTCAGTCAGTTCAGACGTGTCACAAACGATAGAATAAATGCTCATTTCTTTTCTTCTGTTTTTTAAATGCATAATTGAATTTAGTGATCTAAAAATTTTATCAGTATCTTCATAAAAAGGAGATAATTGATACAATAAAAAAGTTTACACAAGAGAGTTTGAGTAACACACATATCGTAATGTATAAATAGTCTAATGTTCGTTTAAAAGGACAGAAGAAAGATCCCCTTATGAAATATAGAAGCTGGTGGTAGTAATTTAACGATTAAAAATGTATGCATGGAATTAGAGACAGATCACAATTATCGGTAGTTTCCCAGCGCAAAAACTTGTCAAAATGATAAAAGAATTTATTGAGGATATAGTGAAACTGTATTCAAAAGGCAGTTTTTCGCTGTATGAAATCAGATGATCCAACTGTGCATGATTATTTAGTAAAACGGGTGTTTGGTTTACATCATATTTCTTTTGGATATACATCGGAACTTAAATATGTATCATTTTGCTCATATTTTGAAAAAGAAGCTATACAAAAAAACAACGAAAAATAAGTAGGTAGTAGTAACAACCCTATCGAAAACTATTGATTCAGAAACAAAACAGTCATGCTTTTTTGGCTGGCAAATTTTTTAGATGCTGTTAATTCTTGCATGTGTTCTCAAGCAATAAGTAGTTCACACGTTGAGGGAATATAAAACAGTAATACTAAGTGACAGATTTAGTATCAGGCTTTGCTCTCTACATGACTAGCCTGCTTCAACTTGCTAAAAATTCTTCTTGGAAACCGTTTTGAACTTCCATTGCTGGATGCAAAAAGTGAACCTTATTAGTAAAATATTCTAAATAATTTAAAGAAGTAAGTACCATTGCAGCCGAAATGAGAACAGCTGTTTTCGCAATCGGAGGGGGGGGACAAAAATAAGAGCTGCCTACTTTTGGTAATTATTAGACATTTCAGTTCATGGTAGCAAAACTTTATCTTGTACCTGTTACAACCAGATGGAATCTTGGTTTGAATCTATCGGTTGTTTGAGCGAATATATGGAACGTATTGTTGTTTTTCTCAGTGAATATGAGGATAAAAATTCAAATAGCGGTTTTCTAAAGGAGTGTTTTGAAAATAAAATTATATCTCATAAAATACGGTTCAGATGGTTTCCTAATTTTAATTCTGTTGAAAAACTATGAAACTGATTCAGAATTTAAAAACACGAGACTATGCATTCCTTTACATCTAGTGGAGTCAGTTAGATGATTTTCTTTTGGGCGTGAAAGTGGTAGTTGATTTGGGTTTAGGACAGAATATATTTTAACAAATAAGAGAGAAAGTTGATCAGAAGTACAAAATGATACTGATGACAGCAGCAGAGAAGAGTTTGAATTGATTCTACACATCCTATCAAATGCAGCAAACGAGTTCTATAAGCATTATTTGCAGATTCTTTTGTCCATCTGTTCCACGAGCATTCGTACCTCAGCTTTGATGCCAAACGTTTACTGGAACTCTTTGTAAAATTTTCTGCGTAAATATATTCCAAAAGGCCAGCTCATACAATCATTTTCACAAATAACTTTTAGTCAGTCGTTGATGTCCGTCAGGTTCTTAAAAGCAGCAACATTATCTCATATAGTCAACATACTCTCTCAGTGCACAAAGGCAACTATTCAAAGCCTTCCTTGTTCCGTTAATAGCGTCGATAATGAGAGATACTTTGATCTGTAGCGTCGTAATGATAGCTGGAAGACTAAGTATCAAGAAAGAGAAGATTGAGACAGAAAATTATGTTAGCTTTCAATAAATTTTTTCCATGCTTTTGCAGTAGTTTATTAGATTAAAGTTCGGAAAACAAAGATTCGCATTTATGTTTTTTATTTATTTGGCAAATAAAAGCGTAGTTTTTATATTTGACTTTTTATTCGCGCGAAATTTTCATTTTTTATGCGAATATTATGGATATCTGCTCATCAGAAGACTATCTTTTGTAATTAAAATTGCGTGGGAACTATATATATATATATACACATTTTTTTGCACCGATATTCTTAATTTAGTTATTTTATTTATTTGTTTGGTTAGGTCAATCTCGAAATTAATTTTTCACCCCACTTTACTAATCCATGATTTTTGCTATTTTTCACACATATTTTACAATGAAAATGAAACCTATATATATATATATACTGGTTTAATTTTGAATTGTGAACTCCTAAAAGCAAACGTTGAAAACATTCTAAAAGTAACATATGAAAATCTTCATAAAAGGTAAACATTTATAAAACCATTGAAAAATTTATCAATATTGCTTGCTTTATGAAAAAAGGTGGTGGGGGGCGAGAGAAAAATCAAACCTTTCTGACCGACCGTTAATATCTGAAATCTTTCAGATTTTTTTTGCTTTACCTTTTTATGTTTTTCCCTTTTTTCCCCTTTTCTTCTTTTTCCTGCAAAATAAAATTTTTTTAACACAACATTTTAAAAAAAGTTTTACGTACTTTTTTTTAAATGCATCAAAATATTGGTCACCGACTAAAATAATTAGCTGATTTTTTATAGAATAGATAAACATATAAGGCGGTTAGGTATTTTACAGTAGAATCATAATGTAGTGAATTATTTTGAAAAATAATAACATCATACATAAAACGTTATATACGTTATTATAACATAAAAAAGTTACATACAAATGTAATTAATATAGATAATGAGTTTTGTGAGCAAAGGGATTTCAAATACAGCGCATATCTTTTAATTATACATTCTTAATAATATGATCATTAGCATACATTACTATATGTTATTGCCTCCCGCTCCCATTTCTCATTACTAATGCAACAAAACGAAAACCTGCAGAAAGTAATACACTAAGATCACTGGCGAATGTGATTGTCGCTTTGATAATTTACTTGTATTATTTTTGAGTGCATTAAAATATTT